ATGAAGTTCAGAGAGGGAAGCAGCTTACCCAGTGTCACACAGCAATCCCCTGGGGCCACTCCTCTGATTGCCTTGATGGACCAAGGACAGGTGTCACCGGCACTAAAGGTGTGATCAGAAGTCAGCTAAACGTGCAGTCACAAGGGGTCCTGGTGGCACAGTGGGCTAGCATGCCATGGCTAACGGAATAGTGCAGGCACAGTGGCTCTCTCAGCAGTTACTGGGTTGTCGCTGTCAAGTACTCCCTTTCCAGAGAGACTGGAGTCTATAAAACAACAGCCTGTGCCTAAGTGCACTCCACTGTGCAGGCTTCGCTCCAGACTCCTGTCATGACAAGACTATGCATTCATATGCCCCTTTTAAAAACAGTTCTCTCCCTCATCTGTTTCAATGCAGTATACATCATTCCTCCCCTTCTTTTCTGTCTTCCCTCAACCCTGGGCGGAGGTATTGCTTAACAATGAAAGAGTTTTTCTTTTTCTTTTCAAAGAGAAGAGTGAATTGGGGGTGGGAGGAGAGAGAAAAGTGTAACAATGAATGACTGGAAACCCTAAGTCTCTGTAAACTTTCATTAAAATTAATAAGAAAAAAAAATGGAGGATAAAAACCCCCCAAAACAATAGCCTGTGAAGAAGAAAGAGTGCCTCGTCCCCTTGGCCTCCGGCCACAGTATGGAGTCCACCCCTTTCACCTGGGGTGGGGGGTGCTTTCTTTCCGGCCTATCTTCCTGTGTTGCAGGCTGTGGCTAGGACTGGAACTTCTAGAACCCTAACAAGATGCCTTTTTGCCTTGATAAATTTTTTCTTTGCTTACTAATTGCAGCTGTGTGTGTTCAATCATTTAATGACAGTGCTCTGGGCTCACTCTCTCACCGGAACTTTCTAGTGCTCTCCTCTTTCCCCAACCCCCACAAGCAGACCCGGAGAACGTGACTGCACCTTCCTTAGTTGATTGTGGATCCAGGTAAAATGACACATTGAACACTTGAGTCCTGAAATGACTGTAATGAAATGGGGAAGGACCCAAAAGGAAGAAAATGGAAAAGGAAGAACACAGGGCATTTCTCAAGCTGGAGGGCAGGAAAAAAAAACGGGGGGGAGGGGGACGGTGAGGAATTCAAACCTTGAGTTATAACTTCTTGTTGTGTGCAGTTCAGTTCAGAACCAAATAGTGATGGATTTTATGGGCAAAATATTGTGTGACGCAGGAAACATCAAACAAGAGGGAAGAAATGCATTGGTCACAGAACAAAAAAAATGGGGCTAAGAATGGACTGCCAGAACAAGAAGCATGAATTTCTGTGGTAAGTACAGTTGTTGCAGGAATTTGACCTCCGGTCCAGTGACTCCAGGCAAACGCTACAAGCTCTTTTGGTGAAACAAGGAAGACTTTCTTGTCCGCGGGGAGCATGAACAGAGACCACAGGCTCTTCAAGGTCAGGGTCCCTAGAGCACTGAAACCACAGGCTCTTCAGGGCCAGGATCCCTGGAGCACTAAACAGAGAACACAGGCTCTTCAAGGTCAGGGTCCCTGAACACAAAATGTTCTCTCCTTATGCAGGCTTACAAGGTAGTGGTAAGGGTCTTGTCTACTGGCTGGTTTTACACTGTGATTGGTTAGTTAATCCTTTCGGGCAAAGGCGTTCTAGGTCAGTTAGGTAGAAGAGGGGTAAGGTCCAGGTTAGTTAAAATTCCCTCACTAGGTTCCTGGACAGCTGACCCCCTTGCTGCTGGACTGGTTTTTCCATTCTTATTGCTGAACTTATCTTTTCCTTCTGCGGTTGAACCCGCCGCTGTCCCTGGCTGGGGGTCGCGTCACCTCACCTAACCAGGTTTCCTTTTCGCTTAGCGTGTGTCTTCTTGAGTCTTGGCCTGCGTCACAGTTAGAAGGGAGTGTGGGGAGACTTCGGTTGCGTGAGTTTCCGGTTCTCAGGAGCCAGCTTCTCCTGCTAGTCTGGGGAACGGCTTCGTGTTTGGAAAGGAGAAACAGGGGAAATGGAGAACTTCCGAAAGATTGGTCGACACAGTAGATCAAACAATGGGCCCAGACACAGCAGGGATGGTGGAGATGGCGCAGGGCTCATCAGCGCTTTGTGTTTTGCATAGGGACCAGCTCCGTGGCATTTACCAACATAAACTTTAGATGTAACAAAACACTATTTCCCCCCAACCATTTAATAATGATAAATCAAAATGAGGTACGATAACAGTAAGGGTCAAGTGGAATTTGCCCACCCTGCTTTCGGCACCTACTGAACTTGACCCAGAAGAAAGACACAGTGCAGTAAAGGGCTGGCAAGGGGCAGGGCGACCCTCATGGAGAGAGAGGCCTCAACAGGTGCAGCAATGGACTTTCGCGGGCTGAGCGGATCGCCAGCGTGTACAGCACGGGCTGCCAGCCAGGTGATGTTTGGCTCACGTACCTCACAGCAGGAAGGGGACCGTCATCACCTGGTGACTCCTGTGGGCTTTTTCAATGCCCATAATTACTGTGAGCCCCGCTTCCCACCCCATGCTGAATCGCTGTATTGTCGTTCTGCTCACAGATTCTATTCAGTCCAGAGCTCAGGCATTTTTCTCAGATGGGTTTGATCCTGTGTCACCACCCTGAGCTCTGGATAGGATTATTATTCCATTTTCTTTTTTTTTTTTTTTCCTGAGGATTTAAAGCAAAGTTATCAAGCCTCTCCCCTTCCCCCATGTCTTTCACTAAGAACTCATATAAGCCTGCAGCTCTGACCTAGCTGTTAATCTTTCTGGCCGTCTAAGTTCTTTGAAGTCATTTATCCTGCTTGGGAGATAGGTAAGTCTTATACTGCAGGTATTTTAAATTCCCTTTAGTTCTCCCAAAGCATCAAGCCTACTAAAAAAAAAACGCATCTTCTATAATTCGCAAACCCTGGGCTTTTGGAAATTGGATGATAGAAGCATGCTTCTATCTCTTACCATGTATTTTGCGCTTAAGCTAAGGCAACGCCCTTTGTCAGTCTCACTCTTGCCATTTTATTCTCATAAGCCATAATTGGAATCTTAATGAATTCATGTAGGACTCGTCTTCCCATTTGTGTTAGAAGAAATACATACTTTTCTTTATTTGAAGAATTGGAGTAAGGATCGAACATAAGAATGTACCCCAAAATCGTTGCCATAGTGGTAACACCTCAAAAGTTAGGCCTTGTTAGTCAGTAGCTTTGGAAACAAATTTGCAAGATCGTCTGTTCTGGCTTTTCAGGGTGTATTCCCTTGAGCTCGCTGCTTGCCTGCGCCCCAGTTCCTTCAGGTGGTAGAATAACGATAACAAGTGAGTGGGTGCTGCAAGTACCAACGAGCTGTTTGTTGCTACTGAATTAGTGCTGACCCATGGTGACGTTGTGTATGAGAGGGAAACTGCCAGTCCTTCCCGACTGTGGATGTGTTGGAATTCATGGCTGTGGCCGTTGTACCAAGCCGTCTCGTTGACCATTGAGGGGTGCTCTTGTTTATGCCAACTTTATCAACAGGTGTCCTTTTCCAACAATTGTGAGAACAGATCAACAGATTGTTGTTGTTTTTAGGTGCCATTGAGTCAATTTTTTGTTCACAGAGACATCACATGACAGAGTAGTACTGGCTCATAAGGGATTTTTTAGCTGTACTCTGCAGAGAAGCACTTGAACAGTCTTTCTTTTGAGAATCTATTGAGTATATTTGAACCTCTGATCTTTCTGTTAGCAAACCAACACTTATGAGCTAGTCGTGCCATCAGAGCTCCCTAGCACATCAGATTGTCAAATACTAGATCCTTCTCTTCTTTTTTTTTTTTAACTAACTGTTTTAAAGGCAGAACTTCATTTTTTGAGTGTGTGTCACAGGGTATGGAGAGTATAGACTTTGGTGTCACTGTGTGATTTTGAAGTCTGGGGATATTAATTACCAGCTTAAGAACTTGAAGCAAACTCTGTGACATCTCCAAGCCTCTGAGTCACGAGGGAAGAGGAAACTGATACATGGCAGGTTGCTAACAAATGGACTATCGTCATGTATTGAGAACACCTGACACCCACTGAGGCTGGAACCAACAGGTGGAAGTCCATGTGCATTTTCACCTCTCCACCGGGCACTTCGTTATTCTGTATCTTATTGGGCATCGTTCAGCTGCATAGTATGGTGAGAAAAGTAGGTTTAACTAATGCTGGTTCAGTTGTGGGTTTTGTTAATCGAATGCTATGCAATGTTTAGGTAGGGTCACAGTAGTTTTGTTCTGACCATTCACGTTCTTAGCTCTTAAACTGTCACCTAAAACACACATTGTTATTGTTGCTGTGTACTGTTGAGTCAGATCTGACCCACAGCTGACCCTCCAGCAGGTTTTCAGAGGCAGTTAATCACACGGGAGATTGCCCATCCTCCCACGGAGCACCTGGCGGTTTCAAACCTTGTGCCTTCAGGGTTGCAGCACAGTTCTTGCCTCTAGGCCACCAGAGCTCCCTAAAACACATTCTAGACAGGTCCTTGGCTCTTTAGAAAAACACAATAGACCTCCTAAGCCCTTCTTCTAGGACTGTGACTGCCTGTCTAACCCTTCAATCTGCCAAGACATTTTAAAATAACCAATGGTTTCAACATCAACCCATTAAGAGCCATGGGTAATTCTAGCCAATAGGCTATGAGTAAAATGAGTTGTCAATCTCCTGCAGAAGCACTTAAGAATCGATAGTCAATCTTCCAGCCTTTTCCCTTCTACACCGATGAGTACCAGATGGTAGAGCCTTCATCAGATTCACCTGCAGTGAAGATGTTCTGTGAAGAAGTCAGCTGTTGTTGTAGTGAGCCTGTGAGGTGTGTGGTTCATTTGTTACTTCACCATAACCCAAACCCATTCTAACTAGTACAAATTCTTCCTCAGATTCTAACAGGTTCCCATGACTGTTCTCAAAGGATCTCCTATATCAGTGCAGTTGGTTATTTAGCCAGATACCTCCAAGTGCTGCTTTTTTCCAGGTGGGCCAGAGTGTTCCAAACATGGTGAGCTTTCTGCTACGTCGTCCTCCAGTGAGGCTGTGTGTGGAGGCTGCATATTTCCTGTCCCTTTGGAGTGCAGGTGGGTACGGTTGGGGTTAAAGAAATGTCTGTACTATCTGCAGAGTGTGGGCTTTGAGAGCATCTCAGCAGCCAATGTTTATGCCAAGAATCCAGGATGAGTTTCTCGGAACATCAGAGATGTCTTCACTCCTACTTATGGTTTTGATCCTTGACTCTTTGCATTTTAGACCTATTTATGCACCAAAATTCATTCAGAGTTCCCTAATTCTGTTCTAAAAGAGCTACTCCTACTACACAGCTTTAAGACAGAAAGGTGATTCTCTCCAGCTTTGGAAGCTCTAAGTCTGGGCTTAGGATACCAGCAGTGCAGGAGGCACACAGAGGAAACGTCTTGTTTCTTTCAGTATCCATTTCCTGGAGACATCCATGTGTTCTCACCTTCCCCAGTGTTGGGGAATTTTGTCACCCAGTGGCCTGGGGGACCCACCCCACTCCTGCCAGTTATTTCTTGGTGGGACTAAGGGTCACGCTTCGTATCTTAGTTTCCTCCACTTTTATCTTTGTTGTTATGAACAGTTGAGACAGAACGAACTCATAGTGACACCCCCACCCCCCAGTTGGGTATCAGAGGCTGTAAGTTGCACAGGAAGAGACTGCCCATCTTCCTTTCATGGAGCAGCTGGTGGATTTGAACCACACGTTTTGGGGTTGGCAGTGCAGTTCCTTCCCACAAGATCTATTTTGAGGAGACGTACTTCACTCCATGACAATCCTCCATTGCAATTACCTTTTATTCACACCATCGTCTCCTTTTTCTGGGAACGTTAGGAGCTTTCTAAATCTGCTCCAGCTTCTCTTCTTCTTTCACCATAATTCTCTCTTCCTCTCAGCAACCTGAGTGGTATTTCTAGAACTCCCATCTCTAAAGCTCGCCCCTTGCCTCACCTGAAACTAGAGCACAGCTTCCTTCTTCTCCTTTGTTAGTGTTGTAGGTCCTTCCCAGGGCCTACATACCCTACCTACCCTGCATGCCCAACTCCCACAATCCTCCACCCTACCACCCCCGCTAGCTTTCTCCTAGTTCTTTAAAACATTCCCACACCCATTTCAACCCCTGGGCACATGCTATTTCCTTACTACAAAATACTCCTCGGTCCATCACATCAAACTCCAAGACTATCCTTTCTTCAGATCTCATCTCATTATTACTTCCCAAAACAGACTCACCTACCTGCGAGACAGATCCAGTTCCTTATTCCATGTTGTTGTTGTTGTTGTTGTTATTGTGTACTGTTGAGTCGGAATAAACCCATCGCTGGTCCTCCAGTGGGTTTTCAGAGGCAGTTAATTGCACAGGAGGAGATTGTCCGTCCTACTTCTGCGGAGCAGCTGGTGGATTTGAACCACATTCCTTTGGGATTGCAGCATAGTTTCACCACTTGACCACCAGAGACCCCTGTATTTCAGATTGTTGTTGTTGTGGTGGTGGTGGTGGTGTATTATCAAGTCAGAAGTGACCCATTGATGACACTCCAGTGGGTTTTCAGAGGCAGTTAATCACATTGGAGGAGATTGCCCATCCTTCTACTGTGGAGGGACTGGTGGCCTCGAACCGCATGCCTTTGGAATTGCAGCGCAGCTTATTGCCACTAAACCACCAGAGCTCCCTTCCTCAAAACTCACTGCTGTTCAGCTGGTTCCAACTCACCGTGACCCTCTGTCAGGTTGCGGAGCTGTAAATCTTAAAAGGAGAGAACTAAGCAATATTACTCTGAAGAGTCAATATATGTGTGTATATAGATTAAATTATTCCATTCACAAACAAAGAAAACAGATATGGGATTTAGTAGAAGTGACTTCATCGTTCCACGTTTATCTTCTTATCTACGATATGGCAGTACTGGGTTGCATTTTTTGATGCTAGCAGTCTAATGGAACCTTCCTTTACCTAAGTGTGCAGCATTAAAGAAGGAACCAAGAAAGAAAAGGAAACGGCCTTCGTACCTACACCAGGTAAACAGGGAGCTCTAGCTTTTAGATTCCCTCTGATTTTGATGAACTCTTTCATTTCTTCCTCCTTCAATCTGTAAAACGGAGCTTGGAGCCATGCTCTCAGAATGTCTGAAATTCTCCCAGTTTCTCCTCCAAGTTTCTCATTGCTTTTGCTTCATGTTGTTGTTGTTGTGTACTGTTGAGTTGGAACCGAGTCACAGCTGACCCACTGGCAGGTTTTCAGGTGCAATTAATTGCATAGGAGGTAACTGCCCATCTTTCTCCCATAAAGCAGTTTATGGATTCGAACCACATGCCTTCAGGATTACAGCACTACTTTTCACCTCTAGACTTCATGAGGCACTTGAATTCTCAGGTTTCATTCAGTTCTTCTCTTAAAATGAGAACTCTATCACCTGCTCCTAGGGTGCAAAATGATGCTTTCCTAAGAAAAAACAAGCGTGGAAGTTGTCCATTGTCTTCTATTTTATAGACACTCCTATTGTCTGCTTCAAACAAAACCACTGATGACAAGTGCCACTCACAGTGCCTGAAAAGGGACAGAACATGCTTGTACCCAGACTGATACACTAGGTTTTGGATAATGTTTTGCTTGCCGATAAAGGCTTGTATCAGATTGCTTTCAATAGTGCCTCCCTCTCCTCAGCCTGATTGACAGAGAAAAGGCTCTGTCTTAGTTACCTAATGCTGCCATAGCAGAAACACCAGAAGGTTGTGGCTCTAACAAACAGGAATCTATCCTCTTTCAGTATGTTGTTGTTGTTTAATGCCGTCGAGTTGTAGACGACTCATAGCGACCTTATGAACAAACAGCCTGAGCACTGTTTGTACATATAGTTTCCAGAGGCAGGCTAGAAATCCAAGGTGCCAGCTGTAGGGGAAGATTTCCTCTGTCAACTTTGAAGGATGGTCCTTCTCTCATTTCAACACCTGTGGACTCAAAAATTCTTACATGTCTCTTGACATCAATCTTCTACTGGGTCTAGAAGGTTCTTAGCTCAAAGACCCCAAGTCCAAATAGATGCTTCATTCCTAGCTCTTCTGTCTGGATCATAACAGATTTGGAGGCTATAAATATTTAGGGGAGGAGATGATGTGTCTTTCTCCCCTGGCATGCTTGAAAAGCATGGGGTGGAGGAAATAGCATGGAATAATTAAGAGCATGGAAGAATGAGGCTGCTGTCTTCACTGCTGACCTGAAATGGGCTTAGATTCAGCTCTGAACTTTCCTGGACCATATTTTCTTCCATCTTCAAAGGTTTGCTAGGTGAAGTTTTAAGGCTATTGTAAATTCTCTGAAGCTGGGCTTCCAGAATGCAATTTCTCTCATTGAAACTTTTATTTCAGTGTCTAGAAATAAAGATGTGAAGAAGGACAAAGCTGAAACTCTTCTTGCTGTGCCAGGTATTGAGGCCCAACATACATCTTGGTTTACTTTCTAATACTGGGTACATTTTTCCAGCTTCTCTGTGCCTTAATTTTTTTTTCACCATCTCTGAAATGGACATAAATTCACCATCTGAATGTAGCATAGACAATAAAGCACCTTGACAATGATAAAATGTATTAGAATACAGTATTGGTGAAGAACGTTGAACACATCATCAACTGTCAAAAGAATAAATGGATCTGGCTTGAAGGCAGCACAGCCAGCAAGCTTCTTGGAGAAGGGCATCATACACAAGGAGAGGGTCAGGGAAGGAGAGGAAGATGTCAGTGAGACGGACTGACACAGTGTCTATGACAATGGGCTTCAGGATGGTAGAAATTGTGAGGATGGAGCAAGGCTGGGCAAGGTTTCACTCTTTTGTGCAGAGTCACTGTGAATTAGAATGGACTCAATGCCAACTAACAATAGCACCAAACAACAAAACCTACAGATTTTAGCTAAATGTCATATCCAGGCAAGTGTTACTGGTTTTCTATGATAAGGAATGGATCTGTATTTGTAACCATCCTAAATATAGCAGAATAAAATATTTATCAATTCTGTACCAACCCTGTAATAGTAACCATGTCTGAGGCCATTGTTGCAGGCCCTACGTCCATCCATCTGGTTGAAGGTCTTCTTTTTGTTGACCCTTTGTTTGACCCAGCATGCTGCCCTTCTCCAGGAGCTGATTCTGGCTGATAATACACCCACAGTACGCAAGATGGAGAAAGCAAGGACACTAGTATGTCAGATCAGGAAGGCCATTCATGATGGGCCGATTTCAGTAGAGCTTCCAGACTGAGGCAAGCTGGGAAGAAGGACTTGGATATCTAGTTCCAAAGGGGTGGGGTTCGAGGGGTGGGAGAGAAACCAGAGAAAATTCAGTGAATAACAGGGAAACTTGTCTAATACAGCAATGAGCCCCTCAAATTAGATGACATTCAAAAGACAAGTGAAGCAAAGCTACTTCCTCAGAGTAGAGTTACTGTTAATGATGTGGATGGAGGAAAGCTTCCAAGACCTCTAGCTATGCTGTGAAGTTACTCAGTATGAGAAGATGGACATACAGACATGTCTAGGTTAGGTCCCCTGATAAAAGAGGTCTTTATCACCAGTTACCTGGTGTTTTCTGTTCTGACACAACTCACAGGTGGTTACACTTGGGCCCTACTCCCCCTAACCCCACCACATATGCACACAGACAATAGAAAGGTCTGATTATCCTCCCACTTGCCCCTCTGTTCTCTACATCTAGCCTATAGCTGACCCTGGTTAAAAATGTTCTGTGTCTCTCTGTCCTTGACAACTGATGTGTTACTAGGATGGGTATATATAGGATGAATGGATGGATACTATATTGAATGGATATGAAATGCATTAATAGAAGAAGGCTCTTCTCCCAGAGGTGCACGGTTCGAATCCACCAGATGCTTTGCCGGGGAAGAAGGGGCAGTCTCCTCCTGTACCAGTCAGATCTGATTTGACGGTACACGCACACAAAAATAATTAAAAAAAAAACAAAATTAAAAAAAAGAAGGCTCTTCTGTACCATCATCATCATGATCGAAGTCTCGCTTGCCTTTTTTGTTTTCTTCCTTCATTGTTTAAAACTTGTCAAGAAGGCAGGCCACTTGATATTCTAGAAGGGTCCCTGATAGGATGCAGTGGGTTCTGATCCCTTCCTTAGCACGGCTTGGCTGTGCAAATTTAGACAACGATGTCCCTTTCAGCTTTGGCTTTTCAGTCCAGTAAAGGAGTGTGGCTGGAGCCCTGGGAGGGACCAGTGGGGTGGGTCACCCACTAGCCGGAAGGTTGGCGGTTTTCATTCACCCAACAGCAGCTTGGAAGAAAGGCCTGGCAATCTGCTCCTGTGAGGATGACTTACCCCTCATTGCCATTGAGGTGGAATGGACTCACAGCTGACCCTCCAGCGGGTTTCTGAGGCTGTAAATCTCATGGGAGGAGACTGTCCCCTCTCTTCTTTGGATCTGCTGGTGGATTCAAACCACAGAACGGTGCAGCCTTTGTGTTAGCAACTCTCTCTAGACTATTCCACCACAACCAAGAAAAAAATTCCTGAACCGAAACTCAAAAACCTCTAGATCGGCTCTACTCTGTTGCACTTGACAACAATGTCTGAGTTGAAGAAGTGGGGTAGATTAGGTGTCTGCTCAGGAAGTAACCTTAGGACTTGTTAAAGCGCAGCTTTCTAAGAGGCCAGGCCCAGGAGAGATGGGCTGAGATCTGCACTGTCCCCGGGCTCCCAGGCTGGTGTGGTGGTGACATCCCCAGCTCTGTCCACTGCCTTCATCTCGTGAAATTTCTTCCCTTCCAGCATCTGGCCCCAGGGGAGACGAGAGCAAGGAAAAGGGGGTGGCATTTCTTGCAACCACAGGTGAGTCTTGGCCTCCGTCAAGTCCTCCCTCATCTCAGGACCCCTTCCTGACACCCCAGGGCAGGAATAGCAACAGCTCTCTTATCTTCAGGCTGCCTCATCCACCAAACCGAATAATAAGTAAAAATGGAAAATGCTAAGAGGATCACCTACCACATTTCTACATGTCCTCTTATTCATGAGCCGTCCGAGGGCACCTCAGGGAGGGGCTGTGAGCCAGCAGGACTGCCCGGGAAGGGCTGCCAGGCTCAGACACAGGCCACGTCCCAGTGCAGTTACACCCAGTCTCAGAGAGACGTCTATATATATGGAATGAAAGCGGCGGGGTGGGCGGAATAAACAACCACACAAGCTTTCCAGGTGACATTGCGCCAGAGCTGGGAGTGGAAGGAGCCCTGGTGGCAGCAGGTAAATGGGGGCTGCTTGCTAACTGACAGGTTGGTCATCTGGTCTCACCTGCTGCTCTGGGATTTGCTTCTAGAAGGATCTCCACCTTGGAAACCCTGCAGGAGGGTTCTGTTCTCTCTTATAGGGTCAAGACAGAGTGTGAACTGAGGTCAGTGAATAGTACAGAATGAGGGAGCTTGGGTGGTGCATACTGTTAGTGTGATCAGGTTACCAACCCTAAGGTGGCAGGTTGGAGCCCATCCAGAGATTCCCCGGAAGAAGAGCCTGGTGATCCAGTTCCTGGTGATCCAGTTCTGAGCCTTCATCCACTGACAGCCCAGTGGGTTATCGTTCTCCTCAGAACGTGGGCTCACGGGGAGTAAGCAGAGTTGAGCAGAACTGGTTATGTTAGTGTGTGGTTACTTCTGACTATGTAGTCCCTATTTCCCATCAGCCTCTGCTCACAGAGATCCCCACTGAAAAGGAAGCTCCCCGGGCTGCACCTGGACTGTCCCCCCTCTGCTGTCACGAGTGACCCTCAGTCTCCAGTTCCCCTGCTGTGTGTTCAGTAGACGTCTGATCTTTTCAGTAGACGGGATCTTCCCCCTGAAAGCACATTTGCCTGACTTGGGCAATGAGCAGCTTTCCCTGACCTCTTGCAGAGCTCCCTGCCCGGGCTGTGGACCTGTCCGCCCTCAACCTGACGGAGCTGGTGAACGGGATGCTGAGCAGAGCTTTGAAAGGTAAGCGTGCTCTTGTCGCTTTTCTCAGCAACGATCATTTTCACCTCGTAGTACCTTCACTCAAACTTCTCTGGGCTCCTGGGAAGGACACCTCCCCTCTCCGTGCTTCAGTTTCTCTGAATCCAGAGTGGAAACAAGCATCCTCCTACCTAATTCATGAAGAGAGTGCAAACATTGACAACAATAGGTGGGTTAAAAGCATTGGGGGAAAAAATACATTCCAAATATAAAAATTGTAATCATGAGTCCCCGGGGGGGTGCCAACTATTGATACACCAAGCTGTTGACCTGAAGGTTGGAGATTCAAATCCACCTAGAGACATTTATTAAAAGTCCTGGTGCTCTACTTCTGAGAAATCACCCTTTGACAACCGGATGACACACACACAGATCCACTGGCTCTTTCGTAATTCCTTCACTCTTCTTTCTGCCTGCTGAACTCTAGAATTCTGTGATTTGCCCGCTCCCAACCCCCTAAGCCCACCTACTCCCTCCCATTCCCTCTTTGGACATTTATACACATCTTATTAATTATCCTTCTATTTTTACAATAATGCTCTTACACAATATTTGTCCTTATGAAACGGAATCCGTTCACTCAGCATAATGGCCTCTAGCCTCTCCCATGTTATATAGTATTTTTCAAAACTGTTGCTCCTAAGTGCTGCATAGTATTCCATCATGTCAATTTACCACAGTTTCCCAATCCATTCGTTGGGTGGGCATTTGGGCTGTTTCCATGTTATTGCTATTATGAATAACACTGTTATGAACTGAGGTATGAATCTCCATTTGTGTTTTAGTTCTAATTTCCTCAGTGGTATTTCTAGCAATGGAACTGGGTCATCTGCATTTTCTAGATTCAGCTTTTTGAGGAAATACCAAACTGGCAACTGACTTTTAAAAGATATATTCACTTACTAATTCCCAGGGCCCATTAATTCAGTATTCTATTAGTGGACAAAGAGTGAACAATATTTTACTTGGGAACAGATGTGATTAAGCTAAGGATCTTGAGATGAGAGTGTTATCTGGGATTTTCCTGGCCCTCCCTCTGGTGACCTAGTGGGTTACGCTGCTGAACAACCCCAAAGCAGGAAGTGGAAATCCAACAGCTGCTCTGAAGGAGAAAGATGGGCAATCCCTTCCTATGCAAGTTACAGTCTTTGCAAAACCACCGGAGGGTAAGTTGTAAGTTGCTCCAATTCCTCAGGAATGAGTTTGAGAGTTATACACCATCACAAGTGTTCTTATAAGAGAGGCGAAGGCCCAGAAGCTGGACGAGCAAGAGCAGTCTCCTCCAGAACCTCCAGGAGCATGGCTCTGCTGGACCTGGGCTTCCAGTCTCAAGAGCTGGGAGAGAACAATCCACTACTCCTGGGAAGACGATGGTTAACCCCGGACTGCTGGCCGGAAGTCAGAAGTGTGAACACCAGTAGCTCTAGAAGAAAACATGTAGATCTGCTTCCATAAAGATTACATTCTAGGAAACCCATGTGGTAATTCTACTCTTGTCACTTGGGGTTGCTATGGGTCAGAAGCTATTCCGCAGCACACAAAAACAACAATTCACAGTGGTTTGTCACAACAGCCCCAGTTACTGTTTCTTAGGGAAACAATGCTCGTGTCTTTGCTTTCTGCAATCTGAACAACCCTCTTGAGTGTTCATTGTGTTCTCTGTTCGTGTCATAGTCTGATGTACGTTGTTTACACAGACTTGTTAAATATGAGAAATATGGCAAAGCGTCTTGAAATCTTACGCTGAGAGCTGTTTGTTTATTGATTTTATTTTTTCTCATTTTCTCCTTCAGTTTTGTTTATTTGGTGTCTGTTTTGGTTTATTTGGGGACTTGCGGTGGCATCATCTGTGGGAAGATGTGCCACTAACACAAAGGCTGTGGCTTTCAGGGGGTTTGAATCCAACCGTGTTTCCTTGGGGGAAACAAAGACAATCTCCTCCAGTGTGATTTACAGCCTCTAAAAACTATTTGGGAGAATCCAATTAAGGGCTATGAAGTCAGTCAGTTTGGTTTATTATGTTCTTAAGTTTCTTCTGTGTTTACTTACATCTGTGTTGATTCGTTCTGTGTGTGTGTGCAGTTGTCGCTTTGCTCATTTTGATGTCTTCTGCAGATAATAAGAAGTTCTTCTCCTTGCTCAGCATAACCTCCTACAGTTCCTTCGCCTTCCACAAGTTCTCTGTGGTCATTTACAACAGTAAGTGCTGCCCGGCTGGTTTAGCAGGGACGTGGTTGGTGGCAGTCTGGCAGAACTCAGCCTGGGATCAGGACAGCTCTGTGATCCCTTTCCCCCTGCAGTTTCCAACCTGAAGACCGTGGACCCCACCAAATTCCCCACCAGATACTGCTACTGTCTGAGCAACCGGACCAATGATTTATCAGGTAGGTGGATACTTCGCTACTTTTGTGTGTTTGTTTTTGTTTTGGGTTTTGGGGTTTTTTTAAAAAAAAAAAGATAAAATTTGTAGTATTTTTTTGCTTCTTTTTTTTTTAAATTTATTACTTTTTGTGTGTGTACTGTCAAATCAGATCTGACTGGTACAGGAGGAGATTGTCCCTCCTTCCCCAAGTAGAGCATCTGGTGGATTCGAACCACGTATCTCTGGGATTGCAGTGCAGCTGCTTTCCCCTAGGCCACCAGAGCTCCCTATTATTTTTTACTTCTAAAACTAAAATAAGACATTTCTAGAAATCAAATAGTTGCATATGCATTCTTGGATTTTACTTGGCTGAAAGTTCTATTTATTCCCAAGGAGAAAGCATAAAATGAGAGCCCTGTACGAAAATTTCCGTGTGACATTGTTTTAAAATGAAATGTAAAGTCTGACCAGCCGTGATGATGGTGATGAGCCCTCACATCACTGCCCCAAGAAGACGGCCACTTAGGTCAACATGGTGTCATTGGTCGGAATCTGTGGAGAAGGCACCTTAGTGTAGATTATAAACTATTCCCTTTGAATAGTCTCTGCTCTGAAAAGGAGGCCTCCCATTGAGACTATCACTACTTAGTTCTCTTCCTCTCTGTCTCACTCTGTGTGTCTCTCTCTGACCTTCAAAATGAAAATAACTTCATTTTCATAAACTTTACTTGTTGGACTTTAAACTGAGGGGTCAGTGCCTCAATCGAACCAGCCTCTCCGTGGGTGAAAGGTGAGGCTGTCCACACCCATGAAGTTTTCAGCTCTGGAAATCTGATGGAAGGTCTCCATGAGTTAGAATTAACTAGCATAGGGAGCTCTGGTGGCCTAGTGGTAAGAAACTGCGCTGCAGTTCCGGAGGCATGTAGTTCGAATCCATCAGCTGCTCCAGGGGAGGACAGGCAGTCTCCTCCAGAGATGTTTACTGCTTCTGAAACCCTGATGGAGGGTCAGCGATGGATCTCCTCCAACTTGAAGGAGAACAACAATAACAAGAAGTCTTCCAGAGCCCCAAGAAGCATCTCCTGTAGGAAACACTTGTGTGGAGCTCCTCAAATCCATGCCCCTAGCTTTAGAAGCCAAGACTTTGCTGGATCGTGGAGAATAATAAGTGACCAGAAGTGGCCACTGCTCACCTTGACGTCTATCAGGAGCTTTTGCTGACCAACAGCATCTACCATGGTAAGCAGTGGTGAGCTCCGACTCTGGGCGAAGAGGAAATTCACAAAGATTCAACAGACTGAAATGATGTCAAATTGTCCTAATCTGCTCAGTTAACCTACTCACAGGGGGCAGCAGGGGAGGTTCCTGGGACTGTTTTGGATGAAGCCCTTGTCCTTATCATTTACAACCCACTGTAATACATGGCACTGCATTTGGGAAAACTTATCTTTGGATCTGCTTCCTCTCAGATGGATCTAAAGTTCTAAAACCCTAGAGGGGATGAGGACTTGGGGAAAACCCCTGGAACACTATTGTTCAGTAATGTGCCTTTCCTTGGCATCCGGGGTTCATAGGGAGGTAACTGAGTGGAAGGAGCAGTGGGAGGAGAGAGGCTTGTAACGGTAGGTTGAGAAGGTTCCACTTGCCTGAAATGTAGACGTTTTAAAAAAAAAAAGTATTAGTAGCATTTTGTTGTATGATTGTTAAAATTCCTTACCTATAAAATCTATCCTGGAAATCTCAAATTTACATTTGTACTTTGTTCCTCAAAATACCTAAGCCAGAATGTAAGCCTTCTTGACCTGTTTTTCAGATTTCACAGCCCTGCTGGTGGACATCATTGGAAATTCGACCAGCTACCTCACAGAAATCTTTAAGTCAACCTCCATTCTCTCAGGTTGGTTCATCTTAGAACTTCTTGGCCAATTTGAGGTTCGGTGTTCTTGTGGAAAGTACCTAACACTCACCCTAAGCCCTCTGGGTCAGGCTGCCAGGACGCTTCTCTCAACTTTATTTGGATGTTCAGTGTTGCCCAGTTTCACAGAGCATGATTGGAACACTCCATATTTTCATTAACACTATTTTTGGGGTCTAGAATATTCAAAGAAGAATCCGAACTTTAAAATTAGGTAGCTCTAGGAATACTGGAGAAGATAGCGCCTGTTGTATAGGTGTACTCCCATTTTGAGGAAGAGAAAATGGAGATTCAGAGAGGATGACTAATATGTTTGAGATTGGAGTCTTGAGTTAAAGTGAAAATTGATTTCGTTCTCTATGAAGCTTAAGCCTGAGTTTGAAGTAGAATTGATAGAGATATTAGATAGGATAGGATATGATATGATATATGATATGATATGATATGATATGCTTTATTTCTCTTGAGACTTCATGAAAGTCTTCCTTTCCCATTTTGAAAAGCACAGATAATGTTCATGACCCAACAGATGGTCTCAGCAGAAGGATGGTGTGGTGCCCCATGGAGCAGCTAAACTTGTATAAATGTGTGTGTGTGTGTGTTAATATATATCAAATGCATAGTTAAATGCATATGCATCTATATATACGCATATGTATACGCATATATACATGTGAATGTATATAGAATATAACATGCATATCAGACTCAATCTCACTGCTGTCAGGTTAGAGTCAACTGATAGCTGACCCTTCAGCGGGCAGCTGGAAGACTGAAAATCACACAGGAGTTTGTCCGTCTTTCCACAGAGAGGCCCAGTCTCTGGTTTAACAGTGCAGCTCCCGGTGGGCTAGGCCACCAGAAAATAGGATGTAAATATATACAAATGTCCAGTGAATGTGTGTGAGTGTGGAAATAACATAGTTACTAAAAAATGTTTGATGCTTTACACTAAATGCAATAAATAAAGATTGTACAGAGTCTTCCTTTGATTAAATCAGGTTTTGCCCCCAAACCAAATTTGGTACTAAACTCACAGGAAACCCTCCATCTTCCAGAGCTTTGGAAATTGGAAAATTACAAGTAAGAGTTTGCATTTTTGTTGTAAAGATGGTTGAACTGTGTCTTGGAGGAGCCGCGCAGTTCCCACACTGTGTAAGTGGCAGAGCTGAGGTGGTGGCCCTGGAGGCTGTCTTTGGGAAGCCATTGCACAATTACACATCTTCTCCTCTTTCCTCCTCCTAAGCAAAGATGCCTTATAATAAGCCTTGTTACCAAATGAGCCCTGTTTCCCTCTGACATCCGCAGCTGGCGATTGCCTGCTAACAATTCTTTCAGCCTCAGACACAGTCTCAGCTCTCTCTGACCCCCGTGTGTGCTGGTTTCATTACAGTGAGTCAGACCAATGGCTCCGACTGCATCTTCATCTGCGTGATGACGGGACAGTCAGGTGAGATGTGACCCTTCTTTGACAAATGTAAAGCTGAGAGTCAAACACACCCTTCAGCTGAGAATCAAGCACATCCTTCAGCCAAAGAGTCCCAACTTTGATCTCGTGGGTGTGTGTTTTGCAGGAAGGAATCTCTCTGACTTCTGGGATGTGGCAGAGAAGTTTCCTGTTATCAACTACACATTCACCAGCAGCATACCTGGTGCCCTGGGTACGTGCATTCGATGTCTCACCTCCAGATTTTGAAACTCCTGTCATGAAGTCGCCACATAAGCTTCCCGTCACCAAATATTTTATATAGCTATGCTTTCTTCAAAATCAGAAGCTGTCATAATTTAAAAGAATATAGATTTCTGAATCGATTGAAAAAGTCAATTTGGAGACCCTGAACCTACATTTACCTTGTGTTGTTATTGTTGTTAGGTTCCATTGAGTCAACTAGGACTCACAATGACGCTGGGACAACAGTCTGAATCCTGTCCTGTCTGTCTCCTAGCCCAGTCTCACCACCTGTTCTATATCTACGAATCCTTCCCTAAAATGCATGCCCGCTCTTCCAGTGGGATGTTTGCAGGGCTATGACATGGGTGAAGGAATGCTGGTGGGAATCAGGTTCTGTCCAGAAAGCACGGCAAATATCTGAAACTTAATATGAGAGTTTTGCTTTCCATAGTGTTTTTGGAAATTGGCATTTAACTAAGTTGGTAGTGAGGGGAAAGATGGGCTCAGACACCATGTGCTATGATCCTGAGTCTCGTGGAATCTCTGCATTCTTTATATTTGTTGTCTGATGACCTTCCTATGACTTCATAGTTCTTTGACCCCAAAGTGTCAAGTAAGTTCAAATTGTTCCTCACTGTCTTCTGTCTGTGCAGCTACCAAGGGTATGGCTGTGACCTCAAAGCCCACAACCACAAGCCACCCAAGACCACCAACTACAAGGCCCCCAGTCTGGGGCCAGAGCACCAGAGTGTCTGCTCTGAGGACCTCTGCCTGGATGAAGACCAGTATTCCTTCAGAGAAGGAGGGTTTCATGAGCACAGGTAAGTTTCTGGAGCTTCTACTAGTGGGACTAACCCCATGGGTGGCTCTTCTCACACCCTCTGTCGTGATTAACACTAATGCATGGCTTTCGACCTTTCATGCCCTGTGGGACAATGTCATCAAGCTGGAGCTGACTTGTAGCTCATCCTTCTGTAGGTTTCCAAGGTGGTAAATTGAATAGAGGAGTCTGCCAATAGATTGTTCATCTTTCTCCCAAGGAGCACCTGGTGAATTTGAACTGCCAGAGTGGGGCACCTTTGGCTTGGGAGTGCAACTCCCTCTGGGCTAGGCCAACTTTCCCCTTCTGGGGTTTAGTTGGAAGCTACTGTTCTATTATTAGTGTGTGCTATTATCTGGTGGGGAAAAAACCCAAAACCTTGAAGCACTTACTGATGAAGCTTAAAGACTATTCCCTTCAAGAAGGATTTCACTTCGACATAATGAAGACAACATCTTCACAGTTGGGCCAATAAACGATATAATAATTTCAATAATGGAGGACATTTTTAATGAAATGGAAAAATTTCAAGGTAATGAGGATTTTTATACAATTCTTCCATTGCCTTGGGGGCAGAGCTCATTCATTGCTGACCGTCCAGTCTTCGGAGTCTGTGAATTGCACGGGAGGAGATTCCCTAGTTTTCTTCCTTGGATAACTGGGACTCATATGTCCTTACAGGTCCTGATTCTGAGGTTGGCAGGCTGAAGCCCATCTCTTGAGGCTCATGCAGCTATGAGAAATATTGATGTTGTCAAGGATGTCATTTAACTTGGATCCTAAATCAACACTTACGGAAACAGCAGTCAAGACACCAGACAAAGCATTGCAGTGAACAGATCTGCTACCAAGGGCCTCTCTATAGTGTTAAAGAGCAAGGACCGCTTTAAAGACTAGGCATGGCTGACCTCAAACACGATATTATCAGGAGCTTCCTGTGCAGGTGAAAAGTGGACAAATGATACGAAAGATCAAAGAAAACCTGATGCTTTTAAATTGTGTTGATGAAGAGTATCACCAGACAAATCTGTTCTGGAGAAAGTGCAGTGAGAACTCTTTAGAAACAAGGATGATAAGACTTTGCTTCACATACTTTGCGCATGTTATCAAGAGGGGTCACTTCCTGGAGAAATAGGTCAGGTTTGGTGATGTAAAGGGCTAGTGAATAGAGGAAGACCCTCAATGAGATGGGGTGACCAAGAGACTGCAGTAGTGGACTCACCAGCAGAGGATGATGCAGATCAGGTGATCGTAGTCTGTTGTAATAAGGTCACTGTGAGTCAAAGCCAATGCCATAGGACCTAAGGGCCACAACATGTCGGCTCAGGGCCTGTAATTGCATGAGCCTCAAGAGATGAGCTCAGCATCAGAGACCTGTGAAGACGTAAAAGTCCCAGTAATCCAAGGAAGAAAACTAGGGAATCACCTTCCGTGCAATTCACAGACTCCGAAGACGAGAGGGTCAGCAATGAGTGAGCTCTGACCCCAAGGCCATGAAAGAATGGTGTGAAAATCCGTATTACCTTGAAGTTTTTCCATTTCATTAAAAAGGACCTCCATTACGGAAAACATATTTCAACAGCAAACTCGAAGCAGAAAATAATTTAGTCTTAAGAAGATTAAAGAGCCAAAATTCATTTTCTTGAAATTCAGGAGGGTATTATTGTTTTGCTGTGTGCCACTGAGTCAGACCTGACTTATAGCTGACCCTCCAGCAGGTTTTCAGAGGCAGTTAATCACAAGGGAAGAGACTGCCCATCCTTCTCCCTGGTGAATTTGAACCCTGTGCCATCGGGTTTGCAGTGCAGATTTTTACCGTGAGGCAGCCAGAGCTTTCTGGAAGTGCAAATGCAGGAAGCCTCTCGTGGTTTGTCTCTGCTTCTAGGAGCTGCAGGCGACCCTCGGCGTCCTGGGCTTGCAGATGTCCTTTCCCCCATCCCTCTGCCGCTCCCCACAGTGTGTGCCTCTGTGTTCACACTGTTCTCTCTGTAACTTAGAAATGCTTCTGTTCAGGACTCAGCCCACCCTAATACTGTCTCATTAACATCACAAAGAAAATCCTACTTCCAAGCAGGTTTAAGTTTTGTAGTGAGGAAGGCATCATTTAGTTCATAACACCCTCCCAACATTGAGTTTAAAAATGCTTTCTCATATTTTGCTCACCTTCACCTTTTCTCCCTTCTACTCCCTCCAAGCTTACATCATTAAGTGAAATCCTCTTTATGCCCCCCCATTAGTTTTATCCACTTTTCTGTCATTTCTGCCTCAGCTTACCTTAAAGATCTATCTGTACGAGCCAGTTCAATAAGAACAGGCAGCAAATGTCATAAACATAACGTCCTAAATCTAGTGGCCTAGTGGTAAGAAGCTGTGCTGCAGTGCTAAAGGCACACTGTTCAAATCCACTAGCTGCTCTGTGAGAGAAGAATGGATAATCTCCTTCTGTGCAATTCACTATCTCTGAAAGGCTGCCAGAGGGTCAGTGATGGGTCAGTTCTGACTCGAAAGTACACAACAACTGCAGCAACAGAAATACATCTTTTATAACTTTTTCACAATTTGTTAAGACATAGTTTGAAGAAGTAGTTCAGAGAGTTACCAGGTAGCCTTTACCCAGCTTCCCCCAGTGATGATGTCATGTAGAACCCAATGGATGTTGTGAGTATGTGACTTCAGCAGTATCTCTTCTGAAATCCACACAACATGGTGACATGAAATACAGTTGAGTGGTATGAGGTTGCATGAATGGCCTGCCACTGGCTGGGTGTCACCAGTGGTCCCTTAGAGGATCCTCTCCTCCGTCTCTGAGAGGAGGAGCAGTGTCCTATCACTGACGTGCCCACAGTCATGTCTGTCCAACCTCTTAAACTCAATTAACTCTTTCAGTAAAAGTCAGCATTCTCTTAAGACCCAACAATAGAGTGGAGTCATGAGAAGTCATTCCTCCAACATGAATTTCAGACCTCACACAAGGTTAAAGAGAGATAGTCACATGTGAGTTTACAGACTATGCAAGGAGATGCAGGTGAGTCAACCATAGTTCTGGTCCGGCCTGCAAGCAGCGATTATCCGTAGGGAGTTCAGGCTGGGACTCTTAACCCAGTTGTGGGAGAGAATCTCAGGAGCCAGGCAGGAAAGGAAACACAGACGGGGTAAGTGATGGAGGAAAAAAATGGAGGGGGAAAAAAAATCACTTTCATTTACTGGTAAAGTCCTACCTGCCAAATGCTTAGATAATAGGTAGCAGCATGTTAAGTGTACTGGCTGATGAAAGCACGCTGATGAACACTTCCCGGGCAATTGAAAAGAACTTATCCTCAACTATTATTCTAAAGGTTGACATGGTTCAAACCCACCCATTTGTGCCACGTAAGAAAGGCCTGGCAATCTGCTGCTGTAAAATATTTCCTCAAGGAAATGATGTTGATGTTGATGTTGTATGTGATCTAGTTAGAACCATCTCAACTCCTCACCCACTGGGCCACCCAAGATCCCTCAGGTCAGGTGTAATTATACACTAATGGGATCACTTTTTTAATGGGCCACTTCATGAATTTGCATGTCATCCTTGCATGGGGGTCATGCTAATCATCTCTGAATCGTTCCAATTTTAGCATGTGTGCTGCTGAAGTCAGTACTCTGATGGGATCATTTTCAAGCTTTAGTTGATTCAATGGTAATGGTCTGGGTGTTTGGGTTTTATTTTTTTAATGTTTTTAATTGGTGGCTAACACCCCCACCCCCCAATATTTAGCTTGGTCCATGCACTCCAGGTCAGGGAGACGTTCAAGTTCGTGGACGATTGCAGTTTGTCCATCTGCCTTTGCTGCTCTCTCCACGTCATGTCCATTTCAGATTTGAACCGTGTGTCTAGCACGTCAGAGCCGTGTTGACTCCCTCTTTGCATTTCAGCTGCCAGGAGGGGGACCAGGACCCCACAGGTGGGTTCCACACATCTCCAGCCCTCATGGAAGCTCAGCAGTGAGGGGACGCCTGGAGCACCGCCCTGGGAAAGCCCTTCAGTGACATCACCATCACCTCTGGAGCCTGAGGAGGTCTTGAACACAAGTCCCCTCTCAGGGACTCCTGCTGCGACAGCAGGGGCAGCGGGCAGCCCAGCCCAGCCCAGCGGCACCACAGGTGAGAGGTACCTACTCCCACACTCGCCCCTTCAAGATGAAAGCTACCCTTCTCTGTGTTTAAACCTTCGCTGATTTTTCAAAGCATATTGGGTTGTTGTTAGGTGCCATTGAGTTGGAACTGACTCCTAGCTGACCCTACAGTGGGTTTTCAGAGATAGTAAATCACACAGGAGGAGATTGCCCATCTTTCTCCAGTGGAGCGGCTGGTGGATTCGCACTGTGTTCCTTTGTGTTAGCAGTGCAACTCCCTACCACTAAGTCACCAGAGCATAGGTGCAAAAAGTAAGAAAGCGGAAGTGGGCCACTTGATGAAGAAATACCAAGTAAACCCTCAGCCCCCTCCCATTCCTGGCGCCCCACCCCTCCTCATCTTGAATGCATGGACCACAGTGCTCGCTGTGCACAGACCTCTCATCTGCCTTCCTTTTGTGCAAACCCCCTTCTGTTCCTTTCTCCCTTTTTCCTGTCTCATTGTCCAGTAAGTAGCAATCACTCCATACAGTCTAAGGACCTTTTTATACATTATTATTTTAGGCAGGAATGCTGAAGACCTGAGGTCCTATTACCAAGTTTTATCTCAATTCTGTATGTAAATGAGGGTTGACTTTGGTCTTCACTGTGAGTACTTCCACTGTGCATTCTGTTTCTTCCTGACTTCTGAAGCCTCCATACCCTACCTGGGTGGAAGAACTCCTGTTCTAGCAAATCCTGCTCAGGTCTGGGCCACTGGTCTGGATCCTTTCAACCCATCAAGATTCCAGGTAACGATGCAGGTTCACTTCTCTCTCTCCCCCCTTCTCAGGAACATACACCCCTGGCACTCAGACCCCAAGTCCAACCAAGGCACCGGCCCCCAAATATCCACAGACAGGTGAGACTGTGCTGCTGGGAAAAAAATCCCATCCCACCCCAAGGGTAACAAGGGTTAAGGCAGGGTAGTGGAGGGACTGGGTGGAGGATGGTGGAACGACCAAGCTGGGTACTGCACTTCCGTTATTCTTGTATGAAAAGAAAAGGGAGCCCTAGAGCGAGGGCTACATGGTGGAGGGGACCTGGGGGAGGGTTTGTAAAACAATGAAAGAATCTTTTCTTTTACTTTTCCATAATTTTTGACTCATGTACTTATAACTTGTTAGTCAAATTTGTGTCTTCTAGGTTGCAACACCCCCATGATACATCTTCAAGGATATGAACATGTACGGCCAAGCACAATCAATAAGAGTGCATCTGAATTCCAAAATCAATCTCCATAATAGTCTATGTGTTTCCTACTGCCAAAGGGGCCCTTTAGAGTAGTGAGAGAAGATCTTCACCCTGAAACCCACAGCGTCCCTTTTCAGCAGGAAGTAGCTAAGAGAATACGCCATCCCCTTTTCCTTATGACTCAGGGTGAAGTCTCTCTCAGGGAGGAGTAATAGGGAATGGCAAAGGACACACTGACAAAGAAGATTAATCAGAACTGGCTTTGACAAGCACTGTGGTATTTGGACAAGAACAAACTGGGAGGAGGGTAGAGAGAATGGTGCAGCGGTGAATGAATGGAAACCCAAAATCTCTGTAAATGTTTATGAAAATTAATAAAATATAATTATAGGAGAAAAAAAAAAAGAAAAGGGAGCCCTGACGTGGAAGGCTTGCTGAATTGCCCTGTGGTCTTGGACGAATCACTTCTGCCCTGGAGTTCCTGGGTGGTGCAAGTGGTGAACAGTCAACAGCTAAGTGAAAAGACAGGGGTTCAAATCCATCCAGAGGCTCCTCACAAGGAAACAAAACTAAACTAAAAATGACCCACTGCCAAAGTCGGCTTTGACTTGTAGTGGCTCAATGTTGTTGTTAGGTAGTCAGAGCAGCCCTGTGAACAGCAGCCCTGAACCTTGCTCTGCTCTGCACTATTCTCAGGATCTCCACCTGACTCAAGCCTGTCACTGCAATCACTGGGTTAATTTATGCCGTCGAGTGGATTAGAACTCACGTAATCCAATGAACAGCAGCCCTGAACCTTGCTCTGTTCTGCACTATTCTCAGGATCTCCACCTGACTCAAGGCTGTCGTTGCAATCACTGGGTTAATCTATCTCATCAAGAGCCTGCCCCTCTTTCACTGACCCTCTGCTTTTCCAAGAATGATATCTTTTTCCAAGGACCGGGCGCCTCCTAGCAACATGCCCAAAGAAAGCGAAGTTTCACCGTCCTTGCCTCCAATGGACTGCCTGCTTATACTCACTCCAAGAAAGACGTGCTTGTCTCTCGGCGTCCATGACAGAGGGACCCTGCAGGACAGGAAAACTGCTTTGTAGGGCTTGCTCCCCAGGCTAGAAACCTTTACAGGAGGAAACTGCTTCGGCTTGTTCCCACAGAGCAGCTGGTGGATTCAAACCACTGACTTTCGGTTAGCAGGGCAACACTTAGCCTTAGGGCTGCTTAGAAGAAGGAAAGGCCAAGCAACCCACATATGACGAACAAGTGTCTGAAAGGTCTGGAGACAGTTTGAATTGGCACAGTCTCCTCCAGTGAGAACCGACTCGTTGGCTGCCAGTTGGTTTCTTGACTCCAGTATCCCCACAGAGAGCTAAATGATTAGACTGGTGAGCTTTGCATCCTCGAGGTGGAGTCAGAGTGGGGCTGAGGGTATATAACTCAGGGCCATTCCATTTTGACTCTGGACAGGCCCCTTTTGTCCTTCGCAGGTGACCTGCCAGCCACCTGGCCCGCTGCCCCTGGGGTCGAGCCCGCCCTGGTCCTGGGATTCCACCCGCTGTCACGTGAGTGCTCTGGTTCCTGCACTTGTACGGATTTTGAATGATGTGGTGGAGAATAATAAAAAGAGATTTGTTGGGTAAATTTAGATGCCGACTGCTGGGACTCGGATCCTAATGTTGCCATTTTCTGGTGTGGTGGCCTCAGGCATTTAACTTCTAGGATTTCATTTTCTCAGTTGTAAAGTGAGAATAATAGCAATTACTCTGAGCACTAAAAATGTCTTTTCCTTCCCCCCCCTTCCCCCTCAGGGTTTTGTTTTAAGTAAGATAATGTGTGTGGAAGCGATTTGAAACTAGAGCGCTCTGTATTCCCTGAATCAGTCGGTATTCTGAGTGATGACAGGCCGTGCAGCGGGGGATGGGGAGGGCTCGGGATTCCAGCCCCGCTCTCTCTGTCTAGGTGGGGTCCCCTGTGTTCTGTTTCAGAGGACACCCTGCCTTCCCCAGGCCCTCACACTTGATTCTCTTGGCTGTAGAGAACACTGGTTTCCTGCAGAGGCTTCTCTGGGACTCCTCATGGCCGATGGTCTCGAGTTTCTGTAGTTGGAGCTGTTTTCTTCCAGCTTCCCTACACCCCATCAGCCTCTTTTCCCTTGAGCCTGTTTCCATATGAAAGACAATGATATGAAGTGATTCCTTCATGGCTGGTCAGGTCCTTCCACTGCTGGATGCTTTTCTGCACCAATTTTCGGACTGTCCCCTGGGTGCTCAGGCATGAGTCAATGGGGCATTATGAAACCTCTGAGCTTACACAGTCGCCTTTGTCATCTCACCTATGAGAGGCCTCAGCCCCGCCCTCAGCCTGCAGTGGAAGGTGAATGGGGCTTTCACACACAAAGGCTGAATTGTACATACGACCAAAGGAATTCGCATCTTAGATCCCCGGGACTTCTGAAGAGGAGTGCCCTGGTGTGGATGCAGATAGCCATCAGATTGAGTCTTAGAAAACAAGTTGACTATCCATCCATCCATTATCTATCATCTATCTATCTATCTACCTACCTATCTATCATCTATCTAATCATCTATCTATAGCTGCCTGTCTTCCTTTCTGTCCACTTACCTCTTTGTCCATCCACATTATCTGTTGTTGCTATGTGCTGTCGAGTCGTTTGCGACTCATAGCTACCCTATGTACAACAGCCCTAAACTCTGCTCTATCCTGTGCCAATCGCATTGCCTCTGACACACCCATCCCAATTACCCCAGTCACTGAATCAATCCACCTCATAGAGGGTCTTCCCCTCCTGAGCTGTCCCTCTACTCTACCCAGCATGATGTCCCTCTCTAAAGACCCGTCCCTCCTGGCAACATGTCCAAAGTATGTCAGACAAAACCCCAGAATCCTTGCCTCCAAGGAGCAGCCTGGTTTAACCCTCTCTAGGATGAATCTGTTTGTTTTCTTGGCAGTCCATGGTACATTCAATACTCTTCTCCAGCACCACAGCTCAAAGGCGTCAATTCTCCTTCTATCCTCCCTAGTCATTGTCCAACTCTCTGATGCATAACAAGTGATTGCAAAAACCATGGCCTGTATCAGGCAGATCACTTGTTACCACATTATCTACTCACCTAGAAATATGCTTGCTAAGCAAACAGTTCTGGTCGTTGTTGTTGCTGTGTCCCCATCGAGCTGGACTGACATCCTCCACTAAATGATTCAACTCACCACAAAAATCAAGTCACCACCTTTGACCTTCATGTTTTTACCTGGATTCCCTTTCAGGGTGGGATCCTGCGCGTGCACTGAGCTCAGTCTGCGCTCTCTGACTTTTTTGCAGTGTTCTGCCAGGGAAGTGTCTCTCTGGCAGCCTAATCAATAAAAGCCAATGGACGGCGTGTTCCTGGTGTATGCAGGTGACCCCAGATGTCTCCCTAGATGGACACCTCACAATCCTTTTTGCTCATTTCCGAGTTTGGGATCCTTTTGCTTGGCAGTGACAAGTCATTCTTTGTCAGAGTAATACTGTTGTTAGGTACAGTCAAGTTAACTCTGCCTCAACGTGACCTTATTGACAATTGATCAAATCCTCACTATCCTGCACAGAGCTTGAGAGTTTTCTGAGTTGACACGTTATTTATATGTTAATAAAATGGTGTTCAGATCACTTAAAGGTGAGCTGCATGAGAAGAAGGCCCATTCCCCCTAACTCATTCTTGTCCTCAGCGTGTCTTAGCCGTGCCTAGCATGTAGTGGATACTCATTGGATTGTAAAGAAATAAGCAGTAACGTTGACAGCTGTCACTCATTGTTTGTGCTAGGTGTCAATGATCTCTCTGCCCTCCTGTTGGCTTTGTGACAAGGAGGCCACCCCCAGCCCACTGCTGTCCAGTTGGTGCCAACACACAGTAACCTTCTGCTGGGTTTCTGAGGCTGTCAATCTTAACAAAGACTACTCAGCTTTCTCTCAGCGAGTGGCCAGTGGATTCGAACTGCTGACCTTTTCGATAACAGCCCAGTGTGTTACTCTCTACACCACAGATTCAGCCAGAGGAAGCTGTCCAAACCTCAGGATATCCCCAGGAGATAGAATTTCAAAGACATTTCTATTGGTCCCTTATATCATGTGCAGTCTTGCCCTAAACACAATGTACAAAGCAACAATGAACATTCAACTAATTGAAATGTACTTAGTCTCCAACCCCTGAAGGTAGAGAACTTGGTTCTTGCCAGCCTCATCTTTTGAGCCATCTCGTTTTTTCTCCTCCTTGCCTCTGCACGCGTCCGTCCTCGCACACACGCATGCATGTACATACTCATATACATACACATACCTGCCCAAAACGTGCCCACACAACTGTCCATACACAACCCCCCATCCATGTGCACACACCTGGGTCCACACAGCACACATACACACATGCATGTAGACACACGCTTGACACCCTCTGGACCATCAAGTCTTTCTGTGTTTCCCCACCAGCAGACCTTCCCTCCATGTGACTCTGAGCCCACACATACTTCTTCCTTGCACCTTAGATGCCCTCCACCTGGTGCAATCCTGTCCAGCATTTCAGACCCTTACTTCTCTGATTTCTGCCAGGGTCTTGACCCCCACTTTCTCCCCTGCTCCCTCATAGCTGTGTTCCCTGGCAGTGCAAATTGTGGATATGTTTTCCTATCTGTTCCAAGCTCCCCGAGAGCAGGGGTGTACCCACACTCACCTGGTACTGCACCTAACAGAGTTGTTGTTATCTACCACTGACTTGGAATCAACTCACAGCTGACCTTCCAGCAGGTTTTCAGAGACAGTAAATTTTACAGGAGATTGCCCATCTTTCTCCTGTGGAGCAGCTGGTAGATTTGAACTGCATGTCTTTAGGTTGGCAGTGCAGCTCCTTACCACTAGGCCTCCAGAGAAAGTGCTAAATCTCCCTAACTTGAATTGTCTGCTGTGGGGTTGCATATTCTAGGATGTCCACAGCCACTCCTCAAGGAGGGGACAATGACAGCTGCCCCCCTGGCCATCCAGAAGATCAACCCTTGCCTGATGGAGCTGTGTCGCTTTTTCCAGAAGTGTCTCTGCACGGGGCAGGGGAGACCTACCAGGACAGAGGCCATGAGGTAAGCAGGGTCACACCCAGTGTTGTTAGGCAGCCTGTACCGTCCTTAGACCTTTGCAAGCTCCGGGAGGTCTGGTATGCTTCCTACTCAAGACAGTCTTGTTCTGTTAATTGCCTAGATTAACCCTTGCAAATCAGTTCTCAGATTTCTCATAGGCCCCAGCCTTTCTCTCTAAGTTTTCTATTCCCTTGATAGCATACAGGGGAACTCTAGTTACATAGTAGTAAGAAGGTGCACAGCTAACTCAAAGCCACATCTCTCTGGAGGTTCAAATCCACCAACAACTTCAAGGACAAAGATAAGAACCCTCCTCCCATGCAATTACAGCCTCAGAAACCCAATGGAGGGTCAACCATGAGTCCGTTCCAATGCCACAGCAGTGAGTTTACAGTGCCTAGAATCTGTGGGGTCAGGCTCATTGCTCCTCACAGAGAAGTGGATCCCAGGGTTCCTTGGGCAGGGTACTCTATATGTATGTTGGAATTGCTGTCCAACTCGTGGTCTCACCCAGTAGAATGTGCCAAGGCCTATAGGCCACCATGGACCGGGGTGAGGGGAGGCTACACCAAACCAGTGCACACTAAGCTCCCGTGGACCACATGCTCATAACTGATGCCACTGTCTTAGCCATCCTGGCCGTCATGTCGTAGCCGTCATGGGTTAATGACTGCTCCCAACCCTGATTCATGCCTTTAGGTACTGCCTGGAACACTATTCCTGGTTTCTGAAAAATGCAACATTTATCTGTCAGAGGGTGACAAGGGTGTCCCATTCTCACAGTAAGTACAGCTTGATTATGTTCTATACGTTAAATGAATGCACTCTACAAAAAGTTTCTCTACTTCTAAACCTCTTCCTGTGTTAATGGGCGCCAGTAGAAATGGTGTAGCTCACTTCCCTTCCCCCTTCACTCATTGCTATAGAGGTGATTCCATCTCATAGTGGCTTTATGGTTGTCGTCAGATCTATTGAGTCATCATATAGGGACCTTACAGTCATCATAACAGGTCATAATGATGGCCCATTGGATCATCATCCATTTAAGGCTTAAGAAGAGCAGACTGTGAGCCTAGCCCAGGCTTGGCCAAGGTTTTGATCTGTTGTCCACAGTTACTGTGAGTGGAGCCAATGTGACAGCACCAAACATCGACCATTTCCTTCTCACTAGCTTGATGTCTTGCTCTCTCTTTTTATCTCTAGCATTAAAGCAAAAATGCCTGGAGAATGTCTGCAAGTCTGTGTGAGGACTTAAAAGAACAATGTGGCCTAACAATGGATTCAAACAACATTCCGTCACCCAGGCTCTAGAACATAAACTCATTGAAAATTATTCTTTCCTAAGATAACATCTCTTTCTGTCTTGTGGAGGTATGGAGGGTAGAGCTAAAGAGAAGACCTGCTCAAATGCAACAGCTCGGGCTAACTGCTATGTGCTCTGGAGAATCGTCCAGGCCTCTGTGGAACAGGACAATGAAAACTGTGTCTCAGAAATAGGTGTAAGGAGCTGATTCCATCAAGTTGCAATCTTGATTCCTTTTCTGTGTGTCCTGCCATTGTTGGCAGCCCTTGGGACCAATCTCAGATTCAATGATGTTTGAAATGGGTTCAAAGACCTCAGAAAAGCTGTTAAACTCACAGTTACCACTTATTACAGCAGAGGGTCAGCAAAGGCAAGAGTCACAAAGGCCAGAGTCTAGAGGAGACCAGCGTGAGCATGCAGTTGTCCTACCCCACAGAGTTCAATGGACATGTCTTAATTCTGCCCACAATGATGTGGAACAACACACGGGGAATGTTGTCAACCGAGGAAGCTCAGCTGAGCCTTAAGGTTCTTGATAAGAGCTTAATCACATAGGCATGGAGTGTCCGTGTGGTTGATCTTTTAGTCTCTTAATATCTTCAGAGACCCAACTGATACTGCCTGGTCCAAAGCATCCACCATAAATGACACTGTGGCATTGACTACTGTGGCATGGCCCAAGGTGCCAGGTAAACAGTGGCAATCTTACCAGACAGCAAGACTTCAGAGGTTGTCCTTCAAGAGCTTATCAAGAGTCTTTGTATTGTACAGGGTTTTAACACTCCCTACCTACTGTGCCAAGGCTTCACTGCACACCCACACTGTGTGTGGGGGTCCCCGTTTCTTGTGTCATGCTCTTTCTTGTGAACTCCGGGCCTGCAGTGGCTCCAATGTGCCCCCAAGTGCTGAGTCTCTGTGCGGAGCATTACTACTGAAGTAGCACCGTCTAACGGCTCAGCTCAGTCCCCTTCAGTCCACCTCATCAGGCGCAGCATCTCCTGACTTGACTGACACTTGTGTCCTCCTGTCTCATGAGTTTTCTGCATGCCACCCACCCATTCCTACCCTTTGGTGAGAAGAGTCACTTTCTAATTGAGGTCCAAGTGGGAAACAATTTTCCCCATTGAAAGACACTCAAGTGTCCTGGGACCATCTAGGAGCAGAGTGACACTTGGGTGGAACTTGAACCTTAGGGGGAGAGGCTTCCAGTTCCTTGAAGGGGGATCTACAGGAAGAGTGTTATAGTCTCCACAGCACTTGAGAGACCTCAAAGTCAGGCAAGTGCGAAGCCCATAAATACCTGTTGTCATAGAATTCTGAGGGAAAGGACTCTCTCATTTTCAACCTTGAGGATAGACATTTTCCCATGGGCACAGAGTCTGTGTGGATAAGATGCAAAAAAATTAACCCCATTCATTCAATGTTGCTTAATTTGCCCAGACTTTCTCTCTGATGGACAGAGTTGATGTTAACGAAGGACCTTGGTCAAGAAAGGACCTCTGAGGTTCCCTTGAAGACTGACGTATCAGTGCTAGGAGACATGGACAGATAGTCTGGCTTCAACACTCAAATGTGCTGACCCAGCCCCCATCACTGGGAACCATGACTGAGTGTAACCATCAGAGGTCTGACCTAGCAGCCAAGGGAAAATGCAAAGATGACCATATAGGATCAGTTTTCTAGGACCACACCTTCTGTCACAACAGCAGCAGTGTCAGGAGCAAATCAGGACATCAGAGTGAACACAGCAGAGCCTGGTGGTGTCACCTGGACACCTGCTGGAGTTGTGTGAGCTGATTTAGGGGATGGTGAAATGGATGGACTCAGTGACTGGAGAAATGGGATTAGGTCTATTGGAGGTGATGCAATTGCCTCAAGATAGGGCAGAGTTCAGAGCTAATACACATTGGGTCACTATGAGTTGCAGGCAACTTGATGGCAACAACAACGGGGCCATGTGGAGGCTTGGTGTGACGTGCTCCTGGATTCCTGCTGGCCTGTACACATGTGGTCAGGTGTGGATGGCTGGTGCGATTAAAGAGGAAAGGGAGCTTTTGTACCAAGTGATACAGCAGGTCCTGCAGGACCACGTGTCGTGTCATGCCATTAAACAGCGCTCCTCCTGGTGGCAATGGCCTAGCCTCATTTCTGTTCACTTCATGCCCAAAAGACCAGCTACTATGTCCCAGAAGAAGGGGAGGCACGGGAGGATGAGACACACAGAGGGACAGGGACGTACAATGTGTTTTTATTTCTTGCCCTGCTGTGTGTGTGTGTGTGTGTGTGTGTGTGTGTGTGTGTGTGTGTGTCTGTGTGAATGAAGAACTTGGGTGCTATCACAATGAAATCTGCCATTTTAAACTCATCTACAACCATCTCCCTGCCCCCATAGTCTGTCTAAGTTCTTATGAAATTCATTTCTATTCTATTCCACCATCAGGGAAGAGCTAGACCAAGATGCTGGGACTATGGTAGGTCTGTAGTTCTCATGGAAGAGTCAAACTTTGCACGTCTAGAGGCATATTTGGTGAACATAGCTGGGGAGATACTGGTATGTAGTGGGTAGAGACCAGGGATGCAGCTAACCTTCCTACTGCTCTCAGTATAGGCTCTGGACTGCCCGCCCCAGGCACATGACAAAGGATTATATTTCCATATATGTTAGTCAGTCATGCCCACGTTAAGATACCATGTTGTAGGGTATGGAGGGAGAAAGAACCTTCTCAAATCGCCATGAAATCCCCAATTGTAGAGATGGAATATCTTCTCTGCTGATGTTCGATGTGTGGGAGAAGTAGCACCATTCCTCCATGGACAGAAGAAACTGATCAGTAATTAATGATCTAGGAAGAAAAACCTCAGTGTGCAAGAACAGCTCTTATTTGAGGAGTGTCCCGACTCATTCCCTCTTGATTAATAATCTGTAGAGCATGACTCATAGAGACCCCATATGTGTCAATAGAACTGTGAGCTGTGAGATTTTCAAAGATCAATTTCAGAAGTAGATTTTCACTTCTGAGGTGCCTATGGGTGGACTTGAACCTCTAACCTTTCCATTAGCATCTGAGTGCATTACCATTAGCCCCATCAAGGGGCTCCCTTATATACCGAGCACTTTCCGTGACTTCCTCATCTCCACAGCCGTCCAGTTAACTGATGTGGGAAAGAAGCTGAGCAGGAACAGGTCCAAGGTCATCCTGCTACAAAGCCAGCACTGGAGCCCAGGATTCCAAAGCACCCTGCCAGACAACTCAGACAGACACCCACACAGGAGATCTTGCTGATGGGTCAAGAGCAAGCCTGGAGAATGGAAAGAACTCGCCAGTGGACTTAAGGCTGAAGTCTTCGCTGAAGCAGAATGTCACAGCTTTCTCCCATGGAGCAGCTGGTAGCTTTGAACCACCAACCTGCTGATTATCAACTGAGTACTTAACCACTAGTGGCCAAGGAACTCAGTGCTGTGACGTGGATTCGACTCACCGCGACTCTGTAGAGCAGAAGAGGACTGCCCGTGGATCCCCAAGGCTGCCGTCGGTACAGAAGCAGCCAGCCACATCTACTCGCTACCTCGGAGAAGTTAGTTGGGCTCAAACTGCCAGCTTTTTAATTAGCAATCAAGTGTTTAACCACTGTGCCACTAGGACTCCTTCCCTAAAGAAATGAGGCATCTAACTGCTGGGCTGGAGGCCAAGAATGTATAAGAAGAGCTTCCTGGAGATGCCTCATGAAGAACAGGGGCAGACAAAGGGCCCTTTATCTTTCGGGGCGCCCGTGTGACTTTCATCTGCCTTTCATCCCAAGAGCTCCCCTGAGGACCCCAGATATAATCCCGGACACCAAGGTGGAGTGGGGGTGGGTGAGGAACAGGGGAGCCTCTGTTTTCTAATTACAGCCTGGGTCTCCTCTGAGGCCCAAGAAGGGGCTCTGAATATGGAGCCTGAACCCGTGCCAAACCATAGTATTACCAAGCCCCTCCCTGGGGGACAGCCCACCTGCCACAGATCCTGAAAGGCCATACTCTTGACATGGGAAGGGGGAGATGGTATCACATGACTAGGGGTCTTTTCTTGGGCTATAAATGGCTCAGCTCTCATCATGTGCAAAGCCCTGTTTCGTTCATCCAACTACCTTCAAGTGGGACCTGCAAGGTAGGAAGCCTCTTCTAATGGGGTGTGAGCCAAAGAGGAAGACAAAGAGAGAAGCAGGGAGACAGGAAACGGGGGAGGTAGATGGAAGGAGGAAGGGATGTGGGCAGAGAAGGAGGAACAGAGGTGGGGAGGGAGAGAGGTCACACTCTCTCCAGGGTCTGAGCCCTGGTTGTTAATCCAGAACATAGAGACCAGAGGCTCTCTGAGCTTTTGTAGGAGTCGACACACCTGGTGAACTTACCTGGGAAGAGATTCCATCATAAGCGAGGGTCCTATAAACCTCTCCAACCCAGTGACTCACCTGGCAGCAGCCGGTGCGGAAGCACCAGTGCCAGGTGTCAAAGGGCAGCTCTGATTCAAGGTGACCCTACTTGTAACTGCAGAGCAGAGCTCCGATGTGTTTCCAATGGTGACTGTTTGCCAATAGATCACTCAGCTTTTCTTCTGAGGGACTTTGGGGCAGAACCAAATGTCCAGCATTTCAGTTAGCAGTCAAGTGCCGCTGTTTGCACGACCCTGGGTCCTGGTGTGGAAATACAGGCATGCCTCCTTTTACCGCACCACACATTGTGTTTTTACAAGTTGAAGGTTATGTGTTTCTGCATGATCAAGCTGTGGTTCTCCAGCTGTGTGCATGCCCTTTGCATCTGTCACATTCCCGTTTTCTTATAGTAGCTGCACATTTAACAGACGACTCGAACCTGCTGCTAAAGAGTTGGTGCTGACTCACAACAGCTTGTAGGACAGAGTAGAACTGCCCCATTGGGATTTTAGGGAGCTAAATCTTTACAAACGC